GGGAACACCACCTCAACAGGTAGTGCGGGGCACCGGCCTTGTCGTTCGTGCCGGACAGTCGGGCCCCTCCGAAGGGCTGTTGCCCTACGACAGCACCGGTACACTTGTCGTTGATGTAGAAATTGCCGGCCGATTGCTTCAGCCGTTCCGACGCCATGTCTATGAATTGTCTGCGAAATACATTAAATGGCAATTAGTTTTGCAATTCAATTCATTACACAATGTTTTGACGTATGGGGTGCACAACTGTACAGTTATTTTCCAATAGTTTGTTATTCTAGTAAAGTGTTGTTCATTTTGATAATGTCTTACCGTACATTTTTTTGATAAAAATAATTCTCATGTCTGTTGATTACCATACAAGTCTGGTACTATACAATTCAAGGTTCATTGTTATGTTCATAATCATTGTTATGACAATTAACAGTACAATGTACGGGGTATACAAAACATGTACCGGATTATTTGAAGTTCATAATACAGTACACCTCGACTATTACACTACATCTACTAGGGTAGATTAAAACTAATGTAAAAGTAAAAAGTTAAATAGTAAAATAATAATTATCAAAACAATATCCCTATTAAACAAACATCTAGATAAGTTAGGAATTAAATTACCAATCCTATCAAACTGTACACATAGCACTAGTATACACACAAATAGACCTAAAATAGGTGATCACTCACTGGTCTTTGGCAAACAGCGAGCCGGTCAGTGCGAAACCACTGGTGCGGTCGCACAGGTCGAGCGCCTCACCCACTTTGGCGGCCTTATAGACATAAACCGTCAAAACGGGACCAAAAATCTCTTCCCTAATGAGCCGGGAGTTGGGATCCGTTGTCTCGACAATCGTGGGCTCGATATACCATCCGGTGCTGTCATCGCACTTACCGCCGCCCAGTACGGTATGGGACGGGGAGGTCTGGGCCTCATTAATATAGTCTCTAATCGTTTTAAACGAGTTCTTGTCGATAACGGCGGTCATGAATGTGTCGAACTCGAGGGGTGTCCCCAGTTTTAGGGCCGACCGCACCGATAGTAAGCCCTCTTTGATCTGCGAATACGATTCAAAACGCAATTAATGTCACGTTTTTCATTGAAAACGCCCTATACCTTAGGCCAGGTGGTGTCGGGCACGTAGAGTCGGCTACAGGCGCTACACTTTTGGCCGCTGTATTCAAAGGCAGCCCTCATAGTCTGGGCGACCACTGTGTCCACGTCGGCCGACTCGTGCACGAAGTGATAGTCCTTACCGCCGCACTCGCCCACCCTTTCCCATACAAACACCGGTATTAAACATACAAATGAGTCAATTATTATTGGATTTATAGCTATATTTCGGTATAATGCTAAACTCTAAAAATAATTGTACACTAAATGCACGCTAAGTACGGTATCTAAACCTAAACTATACTCTACTTCACTATAACGAGACTGTGAGCTGTGGTATGAATGTTAACACCACTGGACTTACAGTCGCGGAAATCCGTGATTGGTATCCAAACTGTTGGCTACAGTCCTCCATATATTACGGAAAGTGCCGACACTTCCCGTGAAGTTAACAGCTGATAGGTATGGGCTGGTCAGGGCGTGCTCGCCAAATACTGGGCCACTGGACGGTACGAATTGGATAACTCCTACAGAAAAATACAACAAATCGTCAATAAAAATATCCCAAAAAACACTAAATAACATGATAGACAAGTTGTACGCACCGGGGGGTACGCCGGCCTCCTCTAGTATTTGGTATATAACCCAATTGGACAGTACGGCAGTGGTGGCCGGCTTATACAGCACCACATTACCCATGAGTACGGGCGCTGTCGCCAGATTACCGCCGATGGCCGTGAAGTTGAACGGCGCCACTGCGGCCACAAAGCCCTCTAAACCCCGGTATCGGAACGTATTGGTCGTCACCTCCGGCTGTGGGCTCAGGGGTTGGTATTTATACATGTCTTTGGCGTATAAGGCGTTAAACCTGAGAAAGTCGGGCAATTCGGCGCCGGCGTCTATCTCGGCCTGTATTACCGTTTTTCCTATCGATATAAACACAAAACAAAAATTAAATTCAAAATCATTTGTACGGTTACTGTATAATCAAAATCTCGAAAATACTATTCAATAATTCAATCAAAAAACTTGTTTTCTATGAGAAAATTGGCGCAAAATTAACGTAAACTTCAAAAAATAACAACAAAAACTATTGAAAGACATTTAAATGCCTGTCCACTCATACCCTGGCCTAACATAGTGGTGGCGTTCAAGTCCTGCTTGTATCTGCCGGCCATAAGGTCGGCGGCCCTCAAGAATATGGCGATCTTATCGGTCAGATTCCTGGCCTCCCATTCCTTGCGGGCCTTTTGCGAGCCATCGATGGCCTCCCGGAACAGCTTCTCGTCCGTCAGCGAAAACTTCGCTAATTTGTGTTTGTGGTCAAAGGGCGAGCACTGGTAGCGCACCTGGAGGTCAGGGGTCATACATCACATTAATACTATTATATTAAATGTATTACAGATTAATTGTATTTTTCTATTCATATCTTAATAATAGCTAAAGTCTTGTCATTTCAAACACAATAGAAATGAATTGATAACAAAATGATAGGGCATTCCCTCTCGCACAGGGAACGGTATGCAGAGAACACTGGTATGTATAGATTAAATGAAATAATTTTTTTGATTATAGTAACAGACACCTCATTAGTGGAATATCTTTTGCCGTTTATGACAATAGGTATGTCCGTAACGGTGTTATTATAGTGGTTGAGCTTATCGATGAGCGCCTGGCGCTCCGGGGAACCGGACTTATACGACAGTATGGGCTCATTCTGGACCTCGAATTCCTCGATGTGTGGCAATCGTATCGATGATAATAGTCTGCCATAAAAATAAAAGTTAGAAAAAATGTCTTAAAAATAAAAACTTTTGATAAATAGCTGTAAAACTAATTAATAGTAAAACAAACTTTTTGTGTAATTAATTGCCAATGAATAATGACCGTGAACACCCAAAGAGACTACTTGATTAGAGCACGGGTAGGTCTGCACAGGTAGCTTTTATGTACAGCAAAAACTATAGTTGAGGTTCAAAAATATTTTTGATACCTATATTGGTTGTTGAGAATTAAGCTTCAAAGTTTACCTCGCAAAACTTTTCGCGAAACCTAATAGATATAATAACAGGGTGGTTAATTAGTGATCTGTTTTTCACATTCAATGGTTTATAAAGTGAAAGACCAATACTGTAGAAATGAGTGCCAGCACTCACTATCACCAATGAGCAAGGTAACACTTTATTTGTTAACATTGTTGACTTTGGATAGGTTTTCATTTTTTATAATAAATATTATATTTATATACCATGAGATAAATAATTTAGTGCATCATAATTTATATCTTAATTATAGAAAATAATATATAAATAAATTAGTCCAGATAATTGTTTAATTTAATGTTAATTATAATAATTAGTTAGGAAAATATTTAGTACATTTAAATAATTACTTAGGATCCTTGAAATTGTTATTATTATATGTTTAGTTCATATTAATTGACAAAGTAATAATTGCTTGAAATTAAGCTCCAATTAAATAGAAATTATTTGATGTTATAATTAATTAATGTTAAATACTGGTAATGAAATTTTTTATATAAAAAATAATTATCATTTGCATTAAAGATAATGACATATCAAACCTAAAATAGGTCCAATTAATATATTTATCAAATATGTCGATAATTCTAAACAAATATTTTTATTATAATTATTTTAAAAATTTCTTTTTGACAACTTTAAGGAAAAAATACACCATAAATGATAGAATCTGCAAATAATATATAACATTTTATGAATATAGTATATCTATTATAATTTAGCAAGTACAAACTTTAAAGCCTCGAAACCTATCGATGAGAAATAGTTGCCAACAGTAAAAGCCGACCCTTTTCTGAGCCAACCTTTCGGTAAATGACATCAACTATTGGGACAAACAATAAAAAAAAAATTACAAAACTTTTCTTTTAAAGTTTTAATCACTCTATTATTTATACTTTTAACTTATATTCAAGTGATATTTTATTATGCCTATTATGTATGTAATGTAAAAGCAGTTTATGAGAATTGACACTATGTTTATGTAGCTGGGCTGAATAATGAATGATTATAAACAGGGTCATCAAATATTCTACTGTCATTATTAATATTTGCAATCTCGTAAATAATTGCATAGCCGAAAATAACAATGTTAAAATAAACATTGTTAATATTATTGTAATACATAACCAATAAATACCTAAAAAATATGTCCAATAATTATTGTTATAATCGGTGATTTCTATAAATAAATTATTAAGTTTATGTATAATTTGAGTAATATTTCTAGTTGATGTGCTTTTCCTATTGGTACACAATAAACAATTAATTGATTTAATTTTTTCTGTCAAATAGTATGTAATGATGGTATAGTAAACCAATTGCCAGATTATAATACGATTAACATAGTTACATGCCATAGTCATTAAAATAGTATGCGGCATACTAAAGCAAATGAATTGGTATAATGGTACATTTAGAAACAGTATTGAAACCCCATAAAACATGAATACAAAAATCATGATAAATATTATACACTCTGTAAAAACAATTAATTTACGGCTAAATCTTAATAACTTATAGACAATTAGTTTGTTATGAATACCAATACTCTTAGGACTAATGAAACCAGAAAGCATTAAAAATACACGTAAATCTTTGGGCTTTATACCCCGAACATAATTATGATAGTTTAGTAATTGTGATAAAATGCTTATAATTCCGGCTGAAATACCTAACAAATGCAAATGTATCCTGATATTTGTAAAATAGTTTGTGTCTCCAAATATGACATAAAATTGCTGATTCTGTTCCGGTAGTACACATAATATCGTTAACCTTAACATTAAATATAATATCACAAATATCAAGATAAAAGTAGGTTGATTACATAATTTTCTTGTAACCACGATATTTAGTGGTTTATAAAATGCGAGACCAATTGTGTAGAAATGAGTACCAGCTCTGGGTATAATTAAACATCTTGGTAATACTTTGTTTAAGCAAATAACATTTGAATTTGAATGTACTTTCATATTATATTAAATATTCTTGATAACTATATTAGTAAGTTTAAACACATAATTAAATGCTGTTGTTTCAGATGCAAATTAAATACAATGATTGCACTTAATTTCAATTAAACAGAGAATAGTAATGACAGAAAAATAAAGTAATAATGTTAATTATGTTTTTATACGAAAACATTATTGATTTTTGGATGCTATTTATTAAATAAACCATAATTATCATACTTATTGTATATTTATATTATACATATATTATTACCATATTATACAAAGTATTTATTTAATTATTTATATAAATTAATAATATCATTGACTTTGATTTAAAAAATAATCTAATTTCTACTTTTTAAACTATCAATAATGTTATTCTAAAAATTGACAACAGTTAGGAAAAATGCACTATAAATGATAGAATCCTAAACAAAAAAAAGATATTAAACTGAAGTGTTTTATGTACAGGGCACTTTTGATAATATTGATACAAATTTGTATCCCACGAAACCTATTGATGAGAAACAGTCGCCAACAATAAAAGTCTACGCTTTTCTGAACCAATCTCTCCATAAACAACACCTACTATTGGGATAAACAATAAATGTGATCAAACAAAGTATTGATTTTAAGTAATAATAATATTATAATCTTTATTTTAGAAATACTTTTAAATTAAATTATTATTTTATAATGAACTTGTGTATGTTCAACATTACTATAATGTAAATACTGTATAGCAGTTTGTATGAAGTATACTGTTTAAGAGTATTCAAGCTTTAATATCATAATCTTTTATTTAATATAGTACATATTTTATAAATTATGTTAATAAATCAACAAGTAACAAATGATTTAATATGAAATATACGATAAAATCCTTGAATTCTGTGTTATTCATGAAAAACATATCATAACAATAGAAACCAATGTCTTTGGCCGACACTCTCTCTATGAATGTCATTATTTTGAGTCTATTTCTGACTGAAATTCGCGTACTTTTCGCACAAATATATGAATTCATAATTGAGTGACACTTATAGGCGCACGCATTGACCCTGGTGCACGACATATCTATTGTTAATACCAAACCAAACACCGTGATAAATATAAATGTGAACAATAGTTTAATGGCCATGGTGGTGTCCCTGGCGGTGATAACGAACAGGGTCATTTCGAAACCAGCACTCGATACGTAATATATACTGAACAGGATGAATTTAAATAGATTATTAAATTTATTTGTAATTATTGCCACTGAATTGTACTCGGCAATTGTTTTCATAAGCATTATATCATTTCTTGCATGTATACTTGCATTGATATTATCATAGACCTCGCTGAATTTATATCTCAAATATGACACAGGTACCATAAATAAAACCACTAAAAATGTTATGGTATTTGATAGTTGTTCAATGGCTATGATCCAGATCATTTGCCATATAATGACACGAATTAATGAGAATCCAGACTCAGGGTCTAAGTATGACATGATTTGCAATATTACATAAATACCTGCTTGAGCCAGATTAAGTGTCCAAAACCATTGGTTTATGAAATGTTTGGTGAGCATGGTGAATACAAACATTAGTCTCTTATAATAAGTATCATTTAGCGGTGGATCGAGTCGTTTGTATTTAATATTAGCAAAGAATTCATGAAAATATAAAGTTCTGTGTAATTCCTGGTAATGAATAGCAATAGTAATTATAAATGCAGTTAGGATTGCCGTACAAAATATGCTGGATATTAAAAATTGATTGCCCACTAAATAACTAAAGTCACACAATAGTAGCCTGATAAATTTATTATTATGAAATAGAGCAGAAATGGTAAATCTTACAATGATAATGAATGTCAGAAATTTTACCCATGTCACTAAAGTTAATCTCAATTTTGATTTTACATGATTCGCGTATTCATCGAAAGTTTGTGTAAATAATAGGGTTTTAGTGAGAAATTGCTGAAACTGGTTAACAGGTACAGCCGGGTCGATGTTATTTGCCACAAATTTTTTAAATTTATTTTGAATTAAATAATTTATAAAGATATATTTATTTTGAATTGCGTTCATGGTGACTATAATTAAACTTTTATTTTGACAATGAATACAATATTTCTAAAATATCCATAATAACTGTAAATGGTATATGTTTTTAAATATATCTAGATCAATATTTTTAATTGAATTTATTATAAAAATATTTTCCACCATTATAAAAAGCAATTATTTTTTGACATATTTTAAAAATATTTTTTAAATAAACAGAATTTCGTGACCATAAATGTCTAATAATATTATAAATCATTTATCACATCTTAATAATATACCTGTACGAATGGAATAGTTTAAAATGATATTTTTAAAAATTTAATAACGTTTATGATAATGTAATGTATAATATACATGTATATTATAATTTTTAAATATTTTAAGAAAATATGACTAATCTCATAATTGTAAATGTTTTAAAACAAATTGCATTTACTTTCTAATAGAAAAAGTCAACTAGTTTCATGAACACCATTGCCATTAGGATTAATATATATGAAAACAAAATATGATTTTAATTGTATATTATTTTTAGAAAATATATTTAAAATGTTAAAAGACTTCATAACCGCGGAATCGATTGACGAGAAACAGTGGCCAACAGTAAAAGCCAACCCTTTTCTGACCCAACCATATGATCAATGACATCCATAATAGATAAATAAAAAGATTTATTATTTTATTTATTTATTTATTTATTTATTTATTTATTTATTTATTTATTTATTTATTTATTTTATTAACTTTTAGATTAATTAATCGAGACTTTTGACGATCGATGTAAAACAAATTTAACAATTTGCTTGCATTTTAACTTGATCTATTTTACAAAACCTTATCGATAATAATTTATTTATTCTGTTAAAAATATTCTCGTTTAAAATAATTCATTATAAAGTCTACAGTACGTGTATATCACAGTTTTAAGATATCAATCAAGGTTGTTTAAGGGTTTCCACCTTATTTTAGTCTATAATATAATCTATATATTTATTTTATATTCAATATCAAAACATTAACAAAAATAGATTTTTTTAATAGATTGTTACTAGTATTTAAAATTAATAAGTTACTTATGTTTTAAAAATTGTGCAAGGTTTAATTAAATTGGCAACTAAAATAATTTTACAATTTTTATTAAATAAGTTACATAAAAATTATTGATATTTTAAAAATATTTTACACAATACAATGTACTGAATACATATTTGATAATACGAGTTAACATTATTAACTTAACAATGCTAGAATTAATATCACCTTGAATATTTTTTCATTTACATAGCAACAGAATATTATTTTATTAAAAATACATAATGAATATTTTAAATACATATTAGTATCATGATAATATGCTTTTATTTTTCAGTTAATTAAAAACTCACCTTAAATCATTTATCTGGATCATTTAGTAATATTTTAAATATAATTCATTAGTCGTATAATATATTACCGGAGATATACTGTACGCCTACTATCAGTAGACGTAATGTGTTGTTGTTATGCAAACACAACACTAGTGTAACGATTGCAGAGTAGAGTCAACGCACACACTATCGCACTGACAATACAAACGTAGTGTTGCATAGACTCCACAAACAGTTATATTGTTTGATGTGATATACTGTTTACTGTTTGTCGTATAAAACACGGTATCGTATGATAAGCCGATTAATACACTATTCAAGTGGCGATTGTATGTTCATTATAAGTGCTATTTACACTGCTAATTACCAGTAGATAGTGTACTACAACATAATTAAGTGATAGTACCGGGATAACTTGGTGTTGGAAGTGGTGGTGGAT